ATTGTCTGAGTTCATCCTCCAATAATTATCATCCAGCTGAATTTCGCGCCTGATCCACACAGCTGCGAACACACTTTGCTTTACCGCAGAGCTTGCCTTGCCTCGTTGTCCTTGAAACGGAACAGTCTTGATCAATGCTCACTATCGAAGCAGTACTCTTATAGGGTTGATCTTGTTCTACTCTGTGTAGGGTGGGGTGGTAACATTAGGAGGATGCACGTGAGTTAAGAGCCATTCACAGTGGGTGTTTCAGTGACCACCGGGATGATGAACCCGTGTGCTGAAAAGAAGCACTTTTAGAGACACAAAGCGTTTGCAATGTTGGACTGTATTTGCCCGAATAACAAGTCAACGGATCTTTTTAATAGATTCTCTCAGGAAAGCATAAGATATGATCGAGAGAAATCCCACTGCGGATCACGACACAAAATAAGCACAAAGCTGAATAAGCGTAATCCTACCTCTCACCTATTGAGCTAGACAAAACAGTTACGAGATAAGGTATTCACGAAGGCCATTCGGAGTACCAAAGAATGACAATTTCAAATCAGTACCCCTAGTGACGTGTCTACTATTGATCACTGAATCAACACGTCATACGGATAATATTTTTCACACGAGCACAACCTGGAAGCGATTTCCATCTGTGCAAAACTTGGACACCAGTAGTTTGAATTCTTCAATAAATACACTCGAATAGCATATAATATCCCCACTCTCAAATAAATTAGGGAAAGGACAAGACCGGTGAAGAAATGGGGGAGTCAAGTGAGGTGAATGGAACAGCCGATCACAAATGATGGCACACGTGTTTTTTTCTTGTGCCATCATGTATTGTTCAGATCGGTTCGTATCATCTCCCATATAAATCAATCAATCAATTAAACAAAGCAGCACCGCGTAAAATCCTACCTGAAATTCCAACGCTACACGTTTTTCAATCCATTCCAAAATTCGCGACATAGTCACCGCTTTCTCACCCACTCGTGGTCTGGCTTTCAATCGTAGTTGTGGATTGGGACGAAACCCGTACCACAATCGATCACTGGGTGGTGGTGGAATATTGACCAACAAAGTGCCGGTGAGCATTTGGATCTGTCGGTCGGTAATTGCGTAAACGAAATTGGATTAATCGAGAGCAGATTGGGTGAACAACAACAATATAAAATCAGTGTCAAGTTGAAATTTAATTTGGACGAAAAAGTTCTGTCGAATGAGAATTTGACATATGCGATCAACTTATGTGTACAAGTTTTGAGCTTGTAGCGGTGCGCGTTGTTATCTCGATCACCTGGATTGTGGTCGAAATATGGAGACAAGTGGAGATGGGCGATTGTGAGGCATTAGGTATCGGGTTAGAACGAACTGAACGAAGTACGGCACACACACACCAAAGTAGGAAATATAGTTTTCCCCCAAGGTATTACAGAAACACCAAGCCACCGGACTAAGCTGGAACCGAAACGAATAGAGGATGAAAGAGAGAGAGATAGCGTGTAAAGCACCAACAGAGACGAAAATCCAAGTGGAAGTTGTAAAAAAGAATGCTTACCTCCGCTTCCAAGACAATAGGTGTATTGGAAATGAGTTCCATGCCACGTTGAACGAGTTTGTTGTCCACAGCTTTTTGGAAATAAGTGGATCGTGTGATTCGATCCATGATACGAATCAGACGACGTCTTGAGGGTAAAGCAGCCGGGATATTTAGAGGACTGAAAAAAATGAGACGGAGTCGGTGCCGCGAGACACACAAAGGGGACCGTGATCCGTGGTCAATAAAATGCAATCGCATTATTCATTAGAACTTGAATGTTGAGGTCGGTAAGCAACCAGAACGTAATGCACATATGTATGGTGATATCCGACCTCAACTACGTGTTATAGTGTAGTGTATAGTGTACGTTAGCCGATTAGTCACACAGACACAAACGTGCATGAGGCAAACCTACCTTTTCAAATACATTCTGATACATTTGGCCGATCGAAGGTGTGTGTGTGTGCGTGCGTATGTGCATTCACAGCAAGAGAGGAAAATAGTAGATGAAGATAATGAGGGCAAACTATGAAGCGATACTGCTACGAAAAAAATTTATCTATCACACACACAGACACCATCCAGGTTAATGTTCAGTGTACCCTACATCAGGATGATTGAGACCACGCATAGAGAAGAGCATGCCAGGCTACGTCACACGCCAGCACCAGTGCTATTGAACGGCTAGCAGTAAGAGAGTTAGGCAAAAGTGTATACGCTCCGTCGATTGTCGTGACGGTGATGCCGTGGGTTTCTTTAATTTTTTATTGCACAACTTAGTGTGATGAACAGCAGGCGGGGTAACCCCACAGCCACGAGTACCCAATGTTCAGTCATGGGAACCGGTAACCTAAGCCCCGGGACTTAGAGTGGTTATACGTGGTAGTGAACCGGACGACAGCAAAGCTGTCTATCACTAAAGTGGTGGTTGATGGTGTTCCCCTTGTCTTCGTGGAACAAAAACTTGATTGTACGCTGGTTACTCACGTTCAAACATTTTTAGTGGAAATATGCAAGCAGTATGTAGCGCTGAAGATACAAACTACTCGATTTTCCAACCCCAGACCGACGGAGAGCCCAACAGGGCGTGCCCTTTTACACGATGCTGTAGTGTCAGCTTGGGAAAATCGTACAAAGTGATGATTCCACCACCCTATTTTTGTTCCTGTGCACAAATCTGTAACCTTTACACAGTCATTAAAACTTTACGTTTAGTGGAATAGCCAGGCGGTAGATGAAAACAAGGTTACGTATGCGGTTAAGCGTATTATTAAATTTTTTCTTCACACAGGCCTGAGTTTAGACTGTGTGCCAAACAAATCGCCGTACAATTTTTATAAAAAGAAAAACCTTCCACGATTTGCTTGGTGGTATAGGAGCATTTCGCTAGGTGCAAGGGAGGGGTGACCAACCGTAACCTGAGACACCCCCACGGCCTCGACCACACTGAGGCTTTCAGAGGTTGCGATTACGCGTGGATGTAAATGGAAATTATTCCACTGAATAAACGATTCGTCCCAAGTCAAGTGACCATTTGTGATATCAGGAGTGCCATTTCGAGTCGGGGATAAGTATATGAAACCGACGTATTCTTGCATAGGAACAACTCGCCTAACAGTCTCACTAACTTCGTAAGCACTGAAGAAGACATTTGCAAACAAATTGACAAGCTCGGCAAACAGGCCAAATGGAGCAATATGAGATGTGCGCTGATGGCCGTTGAGTATCGGTTAAGAACTGCCCATACACTCACTGCTCACGAAAAAGCAATACCCAAACTATTCAGCAATGCCCAAACGTCAAGTGACGCTAACAAGCAACGACCTGTGTAACTACAGCACAAGTCACGTGACAGACATTCGTTCACAAGAGCACTCTGATAGCGTCCTCGCCGTAGTACAGACAGATGACCGATTCTAATCCAATCTGATCACGTGAGACGGCACAGTACAGCTGATGCGATAGATACGATAAAATAAATGGGAGAATCTCGAAACAGAAGAGAATCGAAGGAATTCGCAGACAATAAGGAAATGTAACCATGGCATTTGGCTTGAGTCAAATATCCGATACTGCTGCACTGCGCAACACTATGCAGCTGATACAATCAAAGCACACCGGTTTATCTAAAGACTCGGAAAGGATTCGGCGGAAATATGCTAAGATAAAAATTTTGGTTCATTGTTCACCCAAGGACTTTGGATACGTCCGTGTAAAGTATCCAGATCCCATTGGGCGACACGAAGGCATAGGTATAATCATCTATCCTCGAGGACAGATTTAGAAATTAGACGATACACCAACTTCATGAACATTTGCGTGTGTTTGCATTTCACTGTATCTTTTGGTTCCGGAGGGGTCCATTATTCTCTGGTGCTTGTCTGTTGTAACTTCACTTCGGATCACAGAGAGAGAAAGAGACCGATCAAACAGTGGTTGTCTATCGCTGATCTGGGATCCTGAGCAGCCCGGTTAACCTCGCCTCGTTATGCAGTACCGATAGTTTGAGCTGCCGCTCCCCCCTTCCACTCCCTGGCATGTACTGAGGTCGACTCTCTGCGGTCGTGTTACACGTCCGAAAGCACAGGTCAGGTCACGCAAAGAAGTAGAACAAACTTATAAAAGTGAGAAATGGTTAAGCTCCAATGATCCGTCGTATCTG